CGCCTCACCATCGGTTTGCGTTCAGCACAACTCTACTGACTCACCTCGGGTGGGACACCACTTAGGCCTGGGTATGACTGACTGATGACGGCTAATAAACCAGAATGGGCCATCCTATTCTCCCTTGTCTTTGTCGGTAATGTCCTTCTGTCTATATCATTAGCCGCCTTGAGGCGTAGGCTCGAGTGTGAGCTCCAAAAGCCCCATGGACGGACGAGTTTACCCTCTGACGGATCGGTGTACGCTTATCTGCCTCTTCTAGTATACTTCTGTCACTAAAAGTTTTGAGTTGACCGTGGGAGCTGTTTGAAAGAAAAAACCATAACACAGCCCCACGGCCAACCGCAACGATAACGACGAGGTTCCCGAAATCTCAACAGAGACCTCAACTGAAAAGTCGAGACTGCTTTTGATCTGCCCTCTTTGGGCATCAGCGACAATGGGGCACGGTATGCCTCCACACAAGGATTTTGGCCAGCAGTCCTGTTAATCAGAATGAAATATCCTAAGTGGGCTATCTTATTATCTAGCGCGAAGTGTTTTAACTAGGAATGCAGCTTTTTAGAGGAGGCGGACTTGTCACGCCGAAAAAAAAATTAGAAAATTCCGTCAGGTGGATTTATTCCCCGAAAGTACTCCTGCTTACGAAACGTTGAGCTTTCCAGGGTGTCACGGGTCGCTGTGCGACAAAGGACAGAAGGACCTCCTCTTGAGCCCACTGCATCGAATGTGACATTATTCCTTTTCTAATTTTAGAAAGGATTCGAAGAAGACATGGACGAAGACGAGGAATGAAGTCTACCAACAGCCGAGGAAACTATCGGATTTATTACTGTTGTCAGGTCCAACAACTAAGTCACCTTGTCTCAAATGTGGGTACCGTCACGACTATTTTGAAATGTTTCCGACGTCTACCATTGCAGACCTCTTATATTTCCTGGTTTCTTGTGTAAGAGTCGTCCATATGTTTGTTATGGTTCTTCTTTGAAGGGTATGTGGCCAACGAGTACGCCGCAAGTATTCACGCAAAGGGGAAAGACATTGAAGCTGTACGTGGTTTTAATAAAAACAAATAAGTCAATCAAACAGCATGAACCATACGTTCTTTGTTGATGAGATGGGTTGCTTGATTAATGAGTCCCATGAGGGAATTTATGTTGTGAGACCAATCGTTTAGAACATCGGTAGCCAGTTTCTTCTCAGTGAACCGCACAACCGCGTCTAATCGGTCAATTTTTGCTTGTATGGTCTTTTTAACCACAAGGTTTGAGAGGTACTTTTCAGCCTCCTAAAAAATAAAGATAACATATGAAGCTCTCATCACAACCAGTGATCTGCAAAATATCAGAGATCATAGTAACTTCCAAGATAAAACATTTTGTAAAAATTCGGAAACAATTCAAGGGGGTCAGCGGGTGGTTTAAGCTCCAGTTGTTGCGATCGTATTCTCTGTTAATAAACGGGAACACTGTTTGGAAATGTGCAGAAGGACCTTAGGTAAAAGACGGGCCATCGTGATTGTGTAAAAAATGGCTCCGTAAATTGGGGACATCAAGCAATAACCCTAATAGGTAAACAAAAATAGTCGAAAGTGTGAAATCAAGCGAGGTGCCATTGTAAGTTAGGCACTTTACTTTAACTTGTTGCAGCTGCGATCATGACTGATCTAGCCGACCTCAAGTATGTCCCGTACGGTACTTCTCCACGCGCAACGATCCGTGGCCACAAACCTGGACAATTCGAGCCATTCTCCTCGCCAGCGCCGGAGACAAAGTACCGAAGGCCCAAGAACCACTTCCATGTCCTGACGGACTGAGTCTAGCCAGGTTTTGAATGGACACCCTCTCCGACGTTTCCAGTTAGGTAACGGTTTCAAGTTGAGG